CTCAGATAAAGAGGAACCAGTAGATATGATATATTTGGCTATTCAAAAGACATTTGATAGGGTACCTCAAATAAGATTACTTAATAAGAGTCCATGATGTTGGGGCTGGTAAATTAAAACTCTCTAATTATAGTTCACTGAAAGATATCTTTGTGTCCTCTTTAGCCACAGGTGAGATCCCAGAGGACTGCAGAATAGTCAATGTTCTCCCATTGTTTAAGAAGGGTAACAGGGATAATTCTGGAAATTATAGGCCTGTGAGTCTTGCATTGCTGCTAAGGAAGTTATTGGAAAAGATTCTCAGGGACAAGATCTATACGTATTTAGAAGCAAGTGGACTTATTAGCAATAAACAGCATGGTTTTGTGTGGGGGAGGTCATGCCTCACTAGCTTGATCAAGTTTTTTGAGGCGGTGACGAAGATGATTGATGAGGGAAAAGCGGTTGATGTTGTCTACATGGAATTCAGTGAAGCCTTTGACAATGTCCCTCATGACAGACTGGTACAAAAGGTGAAGTCACATGGTATCGGAGTGAGCTGGCAAGATGGATACAGAACTGGCTTAGTCATAGGAGACAGAGGGTAGTGTTGGAAGGATGCTTTTTGGAATAGAGGGTTGTGACAAGTGGTGTTCCACAGGGATCAGTGCTGTTTGTGGTCTACATAAACGATTTAGTAGAAAATTTAATTGGTCTAATTAGTAATTTTGTGGACAATACAAAGATTGGTGGAGTTGCAGATAGTGAGGAGGATGGTCAGAGGATACAGCAGGATATAGATCAGTTGGAGGCATGGGCAGAAAAATGGCAGATGGAGTTTTATCCAGACATCTATGAGGTGATGCATTTTGGATGGTCAAATACAGATGGAAATTATAAAAGTGAATAGCAGACCCTTAGGAGAATGGATATGCAGAGGGATCAGAGTGTGCAGGTCCACATGTCACTGAAGGTGGCAGTGCAGGTAGATAAGATAGTAAAAAAGGCTTATGGCATTCTTGCTTTCATTGGAAGGGGCATTGAGTATAAGGATAGACAAGTTATGCTGCAGCTTTGTCAAACTTTAGTTAGGCCACATTTGGACATATTGCATACAGTTCTGGTCACCACACTACCAGAAGGATGTGGATGCTTTGGAGAAGGTACAGAAAAGGTTTACCAGGATGTTGCCTAGTATGGGGAATTTTAGCTATGAAGAAAGGTTGAATAGACTAGGTTTGTTTTGACTGGAACGCAGGAGGTTGAGAGGCAACCTGACAGAAGTTTAGAAGATTGTAAATGGCTTGGGTAGAGTGGAAAGTATGAGGATGTTTCCCACGGTGGAAGGATCAATTACTAGGGGACACAGGTTCAAGGTGCAAGGCACATTTTTCACACAAAGGGTGGTGAGTGCTTGGAACACATTATCAGAGAAGGTGGTGGAAGCAGACACAATAGAAGCATTCAAGAAGCACCTGGAAAAATACATGAAGAGGAAGGGAGAAGGAGGATACGGATCCTGTGAATGAAGACGGTTTTAGTACAGAAGGGCAAAATGTGGTGGTGCAGGTTTAGAGGGCCGAAGAGCTTGTTCCTATGCTGTATTATTCTTTGTTCTTTGTTCTATTATTAGCTAATAGAAGACAGAGAGTTGGGATAAAGTAAACATATATAAGTTGGCAATCTGTAACAGGTGGAGTGCCACAAAGATCAGTGTTGGTACACTATTATTCACAATATATATTAATGAGTTGAATGACAGAAATGTACAATCACCAAATTTCCAAATGACACAAAAATACGTGGAAACGCAAGAAGTGAGGATGACACAAGGAGTCTATAGAGGATTACAGACAAGTTAAGCAAACATGCAAAACTTGGCAGATGGAATGCAATGTAGGAAAATGTGAGGTTATGCACTTTAGCAGGAAGAATTGAAGAACGGAATATTATTTAAATGGCGAAAGACTTTGAACGGGGTAGTACAGAGGGATTTGGGAGTCCTCAGGTATGAATCACAAAATACTAGCATCCAGGTTCAGCAGATAATAGGGATAGAAATGAAACTATGGTGTTTATTTCAAAGGGAATGGGCTATAAAAATGGGGAGGCCTTGCTAAAAGTATACGAGGTACTTGTTGAATCACACGTATAATACTCAACAGTTTTGTCCTTATCTAAGAAATGATATATTGGCATTATGGTGGGATTCTCTTATGAGGCGATGTTGAGTAGATTGGGCCTGTATTCATTGGAGTTTAGAAGAATGAGAGGTTTTATTGAAATATAGAAGATTCATATAGGACATAATAAGATAGATGTGAAAAGGTTGTTACCCTTGTGGAAGAGTCAAGGACCATAGGGCATAATTTTACAGTAAAGTGTTGCCCATTCAAGACAGAGATGGGGAGGAATTTCTTCTCTCAGAGAGTAGTGAATCTGGAATTCTTTATGACAGAGGACTGCAGAGGCTTGGCTTTTAAGTATATTCAAGGCTGAAATAGAGAGATTTCTAATCAGTATGGGAATCAAGGGTTAAGGGGCAAAGGCAAGACAATGAAACCGAGGATTATCAGACAAACCTTGACCTAATTAAAGAGTGGAGCAGACTCAATAGGCTGAATGGCCTACTTCTGCTTCAACATCTTATGGTATTGTCGTCATATGGTCTGGTTATAACAGTTCTCATCAAAGAGGCTGGGTTAGATTTTGAACTAGCTGTCCGATAAAGCTGACTTCTACACTGACTACAAATGGCCAATACAAAGCCAGGGAAAGAGTAAAGCATCCGAGCAGCACACTGGGAGCTAGCATTTCGTAATGCTTTTAAATCATCCCTCCTTCTACGATGGTGTTCTTGTAACTGTGGCCATTTTTATTTTAATAAATTTTAAAAATGCTTAGAGCATACAGCCCTCTTAATGCGACCTCTCTCCATAATGACAGGTTGCAGCTTTTTTTCATTGCTGCAAGCCTTTGTAATGGCCCTCCAGCATTAGTGGTCCACCCACTGTAATTAATTGAATGACAAGCCCTCTGGCAATTAATTAATCAATCCTCAAAAATCATGTTAGATCACTGTTCCTAACTGAATTCAGAGTTTGGATCTACATTTGGTCCTGACACCAAACAGAGGATCCAGGTCCACGAGTCCCAGCCAGATTGGTGATGATTGAGTAACCCTTTTGCAAATCTCTTTTTAAAATCACATTTTCCACCCTCCTCCAGTGTAGTGCCTAACACAGACAATTTGTAATCCAACAGTTCTAAAGACACCACCCAAGATCAAAGATATCAATACAATACATAACAGTGGGCTGAAAATCTAGAGCTCTGTCAGGAATGCAGAGAAGATTTTGCAAGCAATGCAAGTTAGTGACCCTATCTATGACATTAAACATACCTTTCTGAAATTACAATATCTTTTGAAGCTCAATATATCATAGGGAAAGAATCTGTTTTTAAAATATTCACAATGAACACTAATAATGAAATGGAGGTTGATGTTTTGAGTTAATGTATCAATCTCAGTGCTGCAACATGTTCTGTGCTATAAATACAGAAGGAACTGAACTGAAGGTCAATGCCTCAACTTCATTTCACAGACTTTTAAATCATCAGAAACAAAATACATTTAAATATGACCCAATTTGAACTCTGTACTTTATGATTAAGAAAAAGGCACCAACTCATTACGTCATTCAATATACTATTCATTTATGGATCTATGTACCATTTCTTATTGAGTATGAAATAATTAATAGAGACTTTATTTTAACCAGTTCTGGGAAGCCACTGACAATGGACCAGCATTCATATATAATAGTCAGAATGTTGGCAGATTTTAACTGGGAAGCCTTATTTTAAAGATGCTGATCAACTGCTTTCCAATTAAAATTTATTAATAAGCTCCTTCCCAATGCTGGTGGACCCTTTAGCCCTGTTAAAGCCAACAGTATGTTTGAATTGTTGAGAACAGTGTGGGAAATGGACTTATTTCATAGTAACTGTTTTCCCACTCCTTTCCCATCAGATCAAAGTGAGTTCAAATCACCCCTGTTAAATAGGGGTAACATAAAATAAGTATTTTATGGACAGCTGTTAAAAAAACAAACACAATCAAAGTGATCAAAAGAACTCTTTAAATATATATCTGAATATTTACACATTAACAAACACTAATAATCATACTAAAAGGCAATTATCTTAAATCCACACATGCAGTTTCAGAAAAAAAGTGGCATCAGAACAAATTAGCTTAAGATAAAGGATGGATTCCTTTTCTTTAATCAAAATATTTCTACTGAAACATGAGATAGCAAGAACTGCAGATGCTGGAGTCAGAGATAACAAAGTGTGGAGCTGGGAACACAGCAGGCAAGGCAGCATCAGAGGAACAGGAAAGCTGACGTTTCGGGTCAGGACCCTTCTTCAGAAATCTGATCTCTGAAGAAGGGTCCCGACTCGAAACGTCAGCTTTCCTGCTCTTCTGATGCTGCCTTGTCTGCTGTGTTCATCCAGCTCTACACATTGTTATCTACTGAAACATGTTTCCTTTTGGCATTTCATGTACGCAATGGGGTTATAGTGCCACAGATTCCAGCAGATCTTCACCACATCACTCAGCTTCCTTTTCTTCATAAGATCACAGTTTTATTTGGTAGCTTATCAGCCGAGGACAACATAATCTAGCTGAGCCTAACCTTGATCTCACATCAGCTTGGCATTTGTTTTCTTGTCATCTTTCCACTACTGGTTATCAGATACCCAGTTTTCTAATTTCAAGATTAGAGATACTGAGGACCATTATCTCCACTACCAATGAGTTCAATAAACTCCAGGTAAGGACATGATATGTTAAATATGGAAGACCAATTCTTAAAAGCAACAGTTGCAGGGGCTCTTGTGCACCATGGTAGATTTGTCAATGCAGTTTGTGAATTATTGCACTGAGGGCTATTTAGCAATACAGGGAGCCCTAGATTAAGCTGTATGAAGAAGCAACTACAATGATTGCTTACCTTTCTTTTTGGATTCCTTTCTTGTGCTGGCTCTGACAACCTGTTGAATTTCTGACTCCGTTGACATCCTAGTTAATACTCTGTCCTCTTCACACACTGTGCACACGCAGATGTAATGTCACCAACCAGGTTCATTTATAAGTATTCAATGATAATATGTACCAGTCCACCAGATGCTTTTATCCCAGAAAGCACATTTCACTCACTTCTGCTGAGAGCTGCAAAAGAGAAATGTCATAATTTCAGATTTTCAAAATGCATATACTTTGAGTACAGGGTTAGAACATTTGGTTAGAAATCAATCATAAACAGTAACATATCACTCAACTTTGGAACAAAATTATTTTTAAAAGAGGATGTATTTTATAACATGCTATGCAGCTCACAAAGCAACATTCAATTTAGATTACGAGACAACAAGGTGCAGGGCTGGATGAACACAGCAGGCCAAGCAGCATCATAGGAGCAGAGAGGCTGACGTTTCGGGCCTAGACCCTTCATCAGAAAAGGGGGAGGGGAAGGGGGTTCTGAAATAAATAGGGAGAGAGTGGGAGGCGGATAGAAGATGGATAGAGGAGAGGATAGGTGGAGAGGAAACAAACAGGTCGAAGAGGCGGGGATGGAGCCAGTAAAGGTGAGTGTAGGTAGGGAGTTAGGAAGGGGATAGGTCAGTCCAGGGAGGACGGACAGGTCAAGGGGGCGGGATGAGGTTGGTCAGTAGGAGATGGAGGTGCGGCTTGAGGTGGGAGGAGGGGATAGGTGGGAGGAAGAACAGGTTAGGGAGGCAGGGACGAGCTGGACTGGTTTTGGGATGCGGTAGGGGGAGGGGAGATTTTGAAACTTGTGAAATCCACATTGATACCATTGGGCTGCAGGGTTCCCAAGCGGAATATGAGTTGCTGTTCCTGCAACCTTCGGGTGGCATCGTTGTGGCACTGCAGGAGGCCCAGGATGGACATGTCGTCTGAGGAATGGGAGGGGGAGTTGAAATGGTTCGCAACTGGGAGGTGCAGTTGTTTATTGCGAACCGAGCGTAGGTGTTCTGCAAAGCAGTCCCCGAGCCTCCGCTTGGTTTCCCCGATGTAGAGGAAGCCACACCGGGTACAGCGGATGCAGTATACCACATTGGCAGATGTGCAGGTGAACATCTGCTTGATGTGGAAAGTCTTCTTGGGGCCTGGGATGGGGGTGAGGGAGGAGGTATGGGGGCAGGTGTAGCACTTCCTGCGGTTGCAGGGAAAAGTGCCGCGTGTGGTGGAGCTGGACGGGAGTGTGGAGCGGACAAGGGAGTCACGGAGAGAGTTGTCCCTCCGGAAAGCAGATAAGGGTGGGGAGGGAAAGATGTCTTTGGTGGTGGGGTCGGATTGCAGATGGCGGAAGTGTCGAGGATGATGCGTTGGATCCAGAGGTTGGTGGGGTGGTACGTGAGGACGAGGGGGATTCTTTTTTGGTTCTTATTGCGTGGACGGGGTGTGAGGGATGAGGTGCGGGAGATGTGGGAGACACGATTGAGGGCGTTCTCGACCACCGAGGTGGGGAAGTTACGGTCCTTGAAAAACGAGGACAACTGAGATGTACGGGAGTGGAATGCCTCATCCTGGGAGCAGATGCGGCGGAGGCGAAGGAATTGGGAATAGGGGATAGCATTTTTGCAGGAAGGTGGGTGGGAGGAGGAGTATTCTAGGTAGCTGTGGGAGTCGTTGGGCTTGAAATGGATATCGGTTTCTAGGTGATTGCCCGATATGGAGACAGAGAGGTCCAGGAAGGGGAGAGAGGTGTTAGAGATGGTCCAGGTAAACTTAAGGTTGGGGTGGAAGGTGTTAGTGAAGTGTATGAACTGTTCGAGCTCCTCGTGGGAGCACGAGGCGGCGCCGATACAGTCATTTTAGGCCTGAAATGATGACTTTCCTGCTGTTCTAACCTGTTGTGCTTTACTATCTCTGCTTCAATTTAGATTCCCATTTTTAACACTTTTACCACCCGACCCCACCTTTCCCTAATTAAAGGAATCAAATTGTATTATAGCCTCACAGTTATCACCATGGTGATAGTTAAGGGAGGCTACAAGGGTCTTAACTGCCAGCTGGGGAGCTGTCAAAAGCCCACCTCTTTTAAGGAGGGCCCACTGTATTAAATGTCATTGATTTACTTAACAAGGTAGCAGTGGGCTCTCTCCCTTGAGATCAAGGGTTGGGGTTGCATTGGTGGCGGGGGGTGGGGGGGGGGGGGGGGGGGGGGGGGGGGGGGGGCGGGTGGTGGGTGATGTAGGGCCTGCCTATCAAGAGTTTCCAGTAAATCAGAGAGCAGCAGATCTATTGAATGGCCGTGCGATAATCTTCCCAGTCACTGCTGCTGGTAGGACATCCACTGATTTTTAATATTGTCACTGCGCCCATCCATAGGCAAGTAATGGCAGTAGGAGATTTTTGAGGCGGAAATAGTTGACAGTGAGGACAGAGTTGTAGGCTACAACTCCTCCCTTGTGATGTTGTGTCCCTTGATCAGGTGCTTAGTGGCTTTGAGCAAGAAACCAGTTGTTTATCACACTAGGAGATAGCAAGGACTGCAGATGCTGGAAGTCAGAGTTGATAAAATGTGAAGCTGGAGGAGCACAACAGGTTAGACAGCATCTGAGGGGCAGGAAAATTGACGTTTCGGGTCGGGACCCTTCATCAGGACTCTGAAACATTGACTTTCCTGCTCCTCAGATGCTGCCTGACCTCCTATGCTCCTCCAGTGCCTGGCTATGTAAGGTGACTTGTACCTGAACACACTAAGCAGCCCATGCCTACTTACAAGATGGCAGACAGAAGCTAAGCAAAACTAACCAGCCTGCTCACACAGTGAAATACAATGGTACCTTTGAACAGAACTGCTGGAAGGTCAGTAAAAGAATGCTGTATGTTCCTATCCGAGACAGTTCTGATAAAAGGATGCCATCGGACAGATAAATGATCAATTCCAGCTTTATTAATGAAAAGATGATTGTCCCAGTAAATGAATAACAGCAGCTGCTGGAATAAGTCGTTAAGCAGCTGCAAGGATAACTGCTAAGACTATTTCATAGTAAATAGTTGCTTCTTTGAAGCTACCAGCAATATCAAATAGTTTCCAGTTAAAAATGCTTTAATCATAGAAGTTGTTTTCAATACATAACCAGAATATAATACAAGCCTTAAAAAAACATTTAAGCTGAGATGTAAAGGTTAACTGGCTTCAGGAGATGCCTTCTCTTATGCTCTGAACAAGATATACTGCTCACAACCCATAAGTTACAAAATGCTAAAAGTAGTAGTAGTTGTATAATGTTACACTTTATAATTACGTTTATAACAGAAGTTCACCTTATATCAATTAGTTAAAACTAACTGACTTTTTATTTTAACATTATGCAATTGGGACAGTGGGAAGTATTAGAGGAATGGCTGAATTTGATAAAATAAAGTGCATGTAGTACAATGAATAATAGAATTCACACTGTCCTTAGAGATAAGAAGCCTGAGACAGATCCGAAGAACTGTAGCCAGTAAGCTTTTCGAATGTGAATGAATAGGATACACAGAAAGATTCCAAGGCCTAGAGATTACAAACAACATAAGACTGTGAAAATCTGGGGCTGTCCATCGAAATGGCCATCATCGATTAGGTGAGCCATGGGATTGGGTGTATGGATTAAGAGGGAAGGATAGTGATTATGTTGTATTTGATATTGTAACAAAGTGTATAAAACGCTGTATTTTCACTGTAAAAATCAGAGTGTGTCATTGATCTCCATTCTGATATGGGGAAGATTCTTTGGCCCTCTCACTGCATCAACTGGTTTCTGCTTCAATAAACATCTTCCACTTGCCTGAATCCTGCCTGCCTCCTGAGCTTTTGTCTCTAGTTGGGAAAAACTCTCCTACATCTTAGTCACAATATTTAATGTAAACTGTACCTGATTGCTGTCATGCAATAAACCATATTTTTTTTAAGACAAGAATCTCTTCTACCCTAGCCACAAGTTGGTGGTTGGCGACACAGCACAGACAACAGGGTCTCCACCTGCAATGCTCACACCTGATTAAACATGTCCTTGTCAGCAAACTCACCACGGCTTGGACATTAAGTCTAGAGAGTGATCTCTGGCAGGCTAACTCAGTCCCGCCTTTCACTACTGCACAAAGACAAATTTTACAGTGAGGATTACTGAATCGTAATGAGGGACTAATTCTTTTTTTCTGCTCACTTAACTAGTACTTTCCACATCGAATTTTGGAATGCTAATCTCAGTCATAGCACTCATGTTGCCCGATTACTACTTTCCACACTAAAGGCTTGAAATCAAACTTAAGGATTTAAAAGTATTTGATTGACTGAGGTCTCCAAGCTGACTGCACAGAATAGTACAACTGTGCAACTAATGACTGTGCATAGTTTAGTTAATAATAATAATAAATTAAACCAACTTTTCCTCTTTTAACTGATGCAATCTTTTCAACAATTACAATGCTATTTTGAATTAATTTATTTGATATTTTTATTTTCATAAAATTATTCATACATTCTGTTAATATAATTTTTCTTTGCTTATGAAATATGATCCAAAGATTCCTAATTTGATTGCTGACTACTTTTTTTATGCACCAGCATTTCGTTAACATTTTTTAATTGATAACTGGCCACTCAATCCAAGATTGGAATTATAAGATTACACGGAACATCTTGTGTTGTTTCAAAATACACATAAAAGAACATTGACTGCTTATCATCTAAGGGTGGCACAGCAAAGAAAACCTGACTTCATCTGAATTTATTTGATAACCGTGAAATAATGCGTGATCCTTGCTGTCAACTCCAAACTATTTATTACTCTGCATGACATTCCTGCTAGGTTGCATTGACTGTGACAATTGCTGTGACTGTGTTCATTATGTTGTTACCAATGAAACTATTAATGGTCAATATAGGACAAATCTCAACCACCATTATCATTGCTGAAGGACAAATGCAAAATATGCAGGTTATTTTTAGTTTTGGTTTTACTTTATTATGTGTTATACTTGCCATAATTGGCAAGTTTCTAATTAAAAGAATAATTTTGTATTGCAAATAAAAATGCTTGAATCCACAAAAAGAATCCACTTCTGTAAGTTTCTGTTCCAGTAATGTCAAGAGACTTTATTTTTGATGAAGAAATTTGGATAAGGGGCAAGAGTTGAAGAGGGAAAAATACAAT